GTCCAGAGGAGAAAAAAAAAAGAAAAGACAATTAGTGGCTGTACAAAGTCGAACCTAGTTCCTCTTTTGTCAGATTCCCCTCCTGTCCGCCCAGACGAGAGTTAATAACGCATTATTCCTCGGCCTAATGGTGATTACTTGTGACAGCAACTGTGAAATTTGGGTGGGTGTGCGCATGGGGGTCAGCCCTGAAAGACTTGATTTTTTCTTTCCCTTTTTCCTTCCCTTTATAAAATTGGCAATCATTCGCAACAGCTTTTCCCTTTTTCCTCCTCGAAAAAGGCAGCCCACCCACAAAGCCCATTTTACACAGCAAAGTTTTTTTTTTTCTCTTCTTTGACATTTTTGTTTTTTTTGTTGTTTATTGCTCGGCTGAACCCCTCAATTACTGAAATTGGAGTTTTCCGGGCGAGGATTCTCCGCTTTTTTGATCTGCTTGAGGATTTCACGCTCGTGCTGGATCACCTTTGGGAATAAAAAAGGCGCCCTTGTCAGGAGCTCAGCGCCGAAGCGAAGCTTTATTTAATGCCTTTGCACTTTTAAACTTTAAGAAACGTCTGCAACATTTTAACAAGGAATGCAATAAAATAGCCGAACATTGTTGTAGGGGGTTTATTGTGTAGAACCTACAGCCTGAGATGTTTTCTTTGTACCATTGTCACCAAATTGATTTTTTTCGAAAATTTTTATTCTTTGAGAATCTTTAGATTTTCAATTTTGTATTATTATTAGTTATTTAAAGGCTTAAGGCCCTTATTCTTTGAGAATTGTATTTTTTTGTAAAATTTGAACTATGGGGAAAAACACTGACCCCAAAGTTCTCCTTTAAAGACTGACGGTCTTTATTTATCCTTTTGAGATGTTTGTTTTACCTCATGAATCGTCTCATATCTTCACCCGACAATGGCTCCAGTTCCCAGTTAGCATTCAGTGGTTGAGCTCTCAGGGACCCCTGGTCTATAATGGTTATATGTACACATCGCGGCACATGACAGCGAACTGTAAGTTAAGGTATGAAAATAAAGCCGACCATACACTGTTATTAGATTTCCATCATTTATAACACACCCACCCCCCCCCCCCCCCCGCCCCGTGGGCTGAAACAGAAAAATAATGAAATATATCTATTATTACATTGAATTATTAAACACACACCATGGACAGAGGAATCCCAAGTGTTGGCTGTTGTATTCTTCTCCTGCGGATGCTGAACACTGGCTGCATCTAAATGACAAAAATCCAACATCTGAAAACAAATGAAAAAGAAAATAAAAAATAAATTTGTGGTAACTTGTAAAATACCATTTCTTGGATGGTTGAGTATCCTCCTGTTGTATCTCTGGTGGCCCTTCGTTGTGCTGGGGGTCCAGTTCTAATGACAGAAGGTGGCAATATCCTCATATGTACCTCCTATGTCTCTGAGGAAGCAGACTGTTATCTGTGAAACGCGTTGAGGATAAACCTCATTCCACCACTGGAACCAGGAACGGCTTTGATGTTTACAAATAGGATGATATGTGTATGGATGCTATAAAGGGTGGTTTGGGGCTGTGAATGCGGAGGCATGTGCTAAACGTATCTTAACCTGCTGGATACCAATACTGATGAGGGGATGTGCCTAGGTTAGGTTTGCTTAGATGTTCACTAAATCCAATCAGAAATCCAGGTTCAACGGACGTCCATGCTAACCGATCTCAGACCTGCACAGCATCATTGGTTGCTAGGATGTTGCTAGGATGCTGTGGGGCCACCCCATTATAATCCAATTACGCTGTGGGGCTGGCAACCAATAACTTGTGTCTGTGTTCTAGCGACCAATAAGCTGTGCGAACCACACAGCGCCACTGGTTGCTAAGATGCTAGCGGCTGGGCACATCAGCGTCATTGGTTATTTAGATGCAGATGGGCACACCATAACAACCAATGATGCTGTGGTGCCACCCTGGTCCTAGCAACCAAAAATTCTGTACGGCCTAGCCACTCGCATCCCAGCAACCAGAGGTGCAGTGTCCTTATTAGTTTTTAGAAGACAGGTGGAGGTTCGGCAGGGGGGGTACACGGTGAACTCATGGTCAACACCATGCCCCACACCACTACCACAGCACACCTTCAGAGGTCTAGTGGAGTCCAGGCCTCAACAGGTCAGGATAAGGGGGACCTACTCAATATTAGGATGGTGGTCATGATGTATTGGCTGATCGGATATATTGATATAGCTCCTTCAAAGTGCTGTTTTATGATGATTTGTGAGGCATTGCTCAAGCCACCCTTAGTGACCTCTGGAGGAACCCTGGCTGAGAAAGACTGCAGTAGAGAAACTGAAACAAGCATGTGTCTAGTGAAGTCAGAAAAACCCCCTGTCTGGGCTCATTAGAGAGATTTCCCCTCACTTCCTGCCTCTGCAACAACGTTGTCACCAAAACAGGAAGTAAAGGAAAATCTCCCACACACTGAAATAAAGTTGTGATGATTTGTACTCTGTTGAATACTAAAAACGTTAACACTTTCCTACCCGTTTCTCACTGAGAGTGAAGGAATTTGCAGGTCACATGATTATTTTTCGAGCCACTCTGTAAATGTTCCACATCAGGATCATAATATTGTTTTCTTTTCTTCCGCAGGTTATCGGACAGTGTGTGGCGTGAACGGACCTCTGGTGGTGCTGGACAATGTAAAGGTGCGTGCTCACTGGGCCATGAGGATGGATAGAGCAAGGATAGGCAACCTCGGCACTTCAGCTGTAGTGAGACTACACATCCCAGCATGCCTCTGCCTCTGGGAGTCATGCCTGTGGCTGTCAGTCTTGCAATGCCTCATGGGGCTTGTAGTTTCACCACAGCTGGAGAGCTGAGGTTGCCCGCCCCTGGTATAGTGTTGTTGCACAGATGTTCTTTCTGAAAGTATATCCAAAGCCCAAACCCTTTTTTAATATCTTGAATAAAGTAAGAAAGGGTTAAAACTTCTCCAAAAGAGAAATCTGGTTTTAGACCGTTGTCACCGGAACAGCTGTCCCCATTGGAAGATTTGGTCTCTATTCCTGTGCTGTATCATCAAAGCAGCTTCTATTAGGGCTAGTTCACACCAGCCCCAGTGCGTTCCGGCCCGATTGTGGCAGATCAATGCCTGCTTAACGGTCCGGTGCGGTCAAAAAAAAAATGCTGAATGCACAATTTTTTCTGAACAGAACACACATATTGATGTGCCACGCATTCCGGTGCGGCCGATTGCTCTGCGGACAGAGGGCGTGGCTGCGGTGCCATTGACTTCAATGCGCCGCCACACCCCCTCCCGCCACAAAACAAAGTGAGCCGGGATGCGATCCAGTGCCAGAATCGGGCTGGAAAGCACTGGGGCTGGTGTGAACTATCCCTTAAAGTGCATCAACTGGCATAGAAGGGTTAAAAGCCCTGTCTGGGTTTTTTGGCTGTCTAACATTGGGGAATTTTCCTTCACTTCCTGTCCCAGAGGTGCAACAAGGAGTTAAAGGAAATCCCCCACCCACCGCCATCACCAGAACAGGTGTCTCTATTGGAAGTTTCCCCGTCACCTCTAGTTCTGGGGGCCACTCTAAAAAGTTGGATTTCCCCTCACTTTCACAATGGTCACCAGTACAAGTAGAGGGGTGAGACTTCCTAGTAGGCACACAGACTTCAACAAAACTTGATAGATGGTCTCACCCCCCCCCCCCCCGGGGGC